GGGGGGGGGGGGGGGGGGGGGGTATATTATCACATTTCTAAAAAGTGTTCCCTCTCATATGTGCGTGAGTGCAGCAGACATTTCCCTGCAGGGCCTTTCAGCAGCTCTGGTTTCAGCTGGGCCGTCGATAGGTCGCGTCGACCTCTGAGTGCTCCGAGACCCCGAGACTCATATCAAATTGTGTTGTTGTTTTAGACCGACACCAGCCATACGAGCTCTTAATTGACTCCCCAGACACCACAGACATTTAGTCAATATATGACTGCTGGAGGAGGAGAGGTATTCAAATGAATAATTAATAAATATGTCTTTGATGTAGTTCATGTTGTGTTTTAATTCATAGTTTGCACTGTTTAATTGACCCAACGAGAAGCTTCAACGTGTCTCGTTTAGAGGCCTTAATAAATGTACATTTTCACACATGGCTGTCAGCAGCAGAGGCGTCTGATTTAAAGATAATTAAATTTCAAATAATAAAACAAACAGCTTAGAGCACACATCTGCCTCACACAGTAGTCAGGAGGTGCTTAGGGGTCTGGTGCAGAAAATCTCTGCTGAGAAGGTGAATTGATGATGTTCTGAAAGTCACAGCACGACCATCTGTCTGCGGTTTTCTAAGGGGAGAAAAGAGTCACTGTAGAGGTAAACTTGCACAGTGAAATGCAGCAGAAAAGTCTCTTTGCTTGATTTTTACAGTCATTTTTTTCTTTTAAATTAGCCTCATGATAATTGACAACAAATAAATAATAATAAAATATAATTCTGAGGTAATTAGAATTTTTGTTTGTGTGGCAATAAGATAAATCAGAACATTTACATTTTTAACACATTTAGTCATTTGACATCACAATAAAGGTATTACTGTAACCGAAACTATTCGGCATTTTGCTATAAAATTGAATAAAATGGTTTATCAAAATGCTCATCAAACATTTGAGCATCATTTGTAAATTAATCAACCAAGTTATTTAATTTTAAATATGTTTCTAATCTGAGCACCTGTGCATTCAGGCACAAAAAAAAAGCTGAGTGAACCGGGCGGGAGGAAGAAACAGACTCCCGGGCGGGGGGGTCGAGATTCCGTCTTGTCACGAATAAACACAAAATAAAAACTATTTATTTGTCAAAATTGTATTTTTTTTCGTGTTTTATAGCCAGTCACTTTCGTTTTGAGTCGGAACATCCGTAGTTATTTAACCGTGAACTCCCCAGTTCGAACGCTCAGTCTCACCACACCCCCGCCTGTTTCCTCGGAATGGTTCGCTCCGCCGCTGCGGTCCTGTCTCCCCGGCAGCCTCTTCCCCCGCAGGATTTCCGACATCATCGAATCTTTCCTGCGCGTCTCTCTCCAGGTTTCCGTCGTTAGCGGCTCTGAAATGAACGAACCGAGTCGGGTTCGGAGGCGGACACTCTCGAGGGAGTCGGAGGTTTGTCCCCGCTCCGGCTGAACGCCCGTGCGGAGGCCGGAGGATCGTCACGGCTGCCCGGACGGGGATGAACCTGTGGCGGGGCGGCTCGCGTGTCACTGGCAGCCTGTTAATGTGGCGGTACCCGGGCAGGCGCGTGCGTTGGTGTTGGGGGATACGGCACACAGCGGTTCATTAACAGAGATGGGATATTAAAGAGACAGAGACTGCATCTGATTAAAGAGACAAGCCCTCTGCGCCATATTCCTGATGCACCTGCACGTCCAGCCGAAGTGGTGAACCTTAACTCATAATGTGACATTCTCAGTGTCTGTTTTTACCTCAAGCTTTTCTGCCCTGCCATACTCCACAACTATATATATTTTTTCTACCTGAATCCATTTGGACTTTCTTCCATGTTTGGAAAGATTGTTTTCTATTTAAACCAGGATCCATTCTCCTGCCTAACTACACAATCCAGCAGTTAAAGGTCTGTAGGATGCTGGATCTGAAGATGAAGGAGGCTTGTCGCATCTGTGGACGGGAGCTCTGTGGGAACCAAAGGCGGTGGATCTTCCACCCCGCTGCCAAACTCAACCTACAGGTGCTGCTGTCTCACGCCCTGGGTCGAGAGCTAACTCGAGACGGCAAGGGAGAGTTCGCCTGCTCCAAGTGCACCTTCATGCTGGACCGCATGTACCGCTTCGACACAGTCATCGCCCGAGTGGAGGCCCTGTCCATCGAGAGGTTACAGCGGCTCCTGCACGAGAAACACCGACTCAGGCAGTGCATCAGTGGGCTGTACCGCAAAACAAACTCTGATGAGGGGGCTTTAACGTTAACCGGCGAAGGATCGGGAGATGGGATGGTGGATATTTCAGGTCTAGCCCATGCCAAGTACTGTGCCCTGCTCCAGGAGGATTTGGTCTACTCTTTGTACGAGTCCTGGGCCGATGACGGCGTGGAGTGCCACCATCACCACCGCCCTCAGAGTTCTGCCGGTCCTGACTCGGAGGCTGCGGGTGCGAGCTCTCACCGCTGCACGCCGAGCACTCCCAGGAGGTGCCGGGGATGTTCCTACTGGCGTGTGGCCGATTCTGACTATGAAGCGGTCTGCAAGGTGCCCCGGAAGCTGGCTCGGAGTACCTCTTGTGGGCCATCAACCAGATACTCTGCCAGCATTACGGGGGGAAGTGTGACCGGAGGAGGAGAGAGCAAACACGCTGACGATTCAGAGGAAAACCCGTCTTCTCGAACGCTCGTCCCTGGATCCCAGGAGGTCTCCGGGACGTCGGACAGCGATCGCACCCTGGCTGGTCGAGCMAGCTCCAGTCCGTCTGTTGCTTCTCTAGAGACCGCTGAAGAATACGCTCAACACGGAACCGAGACTCTGAGCTCCCTCAGAGAAACAGAGGACCACATATCTGACTGTTTCTCCGAAGAACCCAYGGGGACACCGCAGGTCTCACCCGGACCCAACTTGTCTCTGACCTTCTGTTTGCTGCAAAGCTGTTCCGTCTACCGGCCGGTCCAAAACATCAAGGGAAGCAAGCTCCCGGTCCTGCTCCAACAGAGCTCCAGCAATGGAAGGCTTACCTTCCCTTATCCTGTTTTAGGAACACCKTGTAGAACCCCGGACAGAGACAACYACATGATGCCAACGCCTGAGCTGGAGACCCCTCGGATAAGGGTGGATGATGRGGAGGACCATCATCTGAACTTGTTTGACATGGAGGAGTTGTTGGAGGATTTGTACAAACAGTATCCTCCCCCACCTCCTCACCAGGTAGAAACAAAAGGGGTGAGAAGGATTTCCTTRCAGTGTGATGACGAGCAGCAAATTGTACCTTTTTGCTTTGCAAATCTGCAGCATCTGCGGCAGGCAGCGTGTGYGAACCGGCCTAACAGGCTTTGATGTTTGACATCATGCCTGGCCCCACAAAGAATTACCTCCATCCTTTTTTTAAACTAAGCAGCTTCGTAATCCAGCTGTCAGTTCACTTATCCTGCCCACAGCTTCTTCAAATAGCTTTAACTCTGGGAGATGTGAGCTGCTGTGTGTGTGTGTGTGTGTGTGTGTGTGTGTGTGTGTGTGTGTGTGTGTGTGTGTGTG